CCAAGTTTATCCTAAAATTGTTCAGTTCATGTTCAAGTGAGACAACTCACTACTAAAGTCCATCCTAAAATTATTCAGTTTATGATCTAGTGAGACAAATCACTATAGAATTCCACCCTAAAACTGTTCATTCCATACTCCATATGGATATCTCTCTAGAGGACTAAACCTTAAAACCTGTAATAGTAGGATACTGACTGTTACTACTTTACAATAAATATGCAAAATATTAAAAATCAACCAATCAAAGGAAAAATAACAAACATAAGTTAAACAATTTAATGGCATTTTATTATATCCTCATGAAGTTCACAATAATTAATAATTTAAAAACAAAACAAAACCAAAATCTATTACAAACAGGAGAAGGCCCAAAATGTTACTCAAACAATTCTCTAAATGTTAAAAGGCACATTCATATTTGTCACATATTTCTCAGGGAACTTTTTCAGACAATTCCCTGAAGGTTCTCATGATAACATGACACTGGAGTTATAAAATTATCCACAAAACAAACAATTTCTGCCATAATAATATCACACAGAAATGATAATTGAATGACCAGTCTCACAATAATTCAGTACAATGAAATGGAGAAAGAAGAAGTGAAAGTCGTGGGTTAGCAAACCAAAGCAAGCTGCACTTGAAAGGCTGGAACACAGAACAAGCACTAACTGCTTTCAGACTGCAAAATTACCAGTAATAAGTAAACATGATTTATGTGATTGATTCAAAGCTGACTTTCAGGTCAACATCATAATGGGCGTAGGGAGCATATTTAGGGAATGTTTTGAATCAGTTGTTCATCATGAATTCACAGACTTTCAAAACCATCTGCTGCTTTGTCAACTTTCAAACTGCACAACTGGATTTCATTCTTCTAAAATTGACATATATTTTCTATTCTATGGGAGTATATATGGACCAAGAAGAAGAAAAACACTGATAGACTACATGATCTGAACATTGAGGAGAATTGGCTCATAAACAGCATCCTGTTCCAGAAGCTAAGGTATTTGTTGCCATTTATTGTTCAGAATTAGAACAGAAATTATAGTAAAAATCACAGCACCATTTCCAAGTATACCTCATTGTGGGTGCCTGGAGAGATCAGTGATAGAATGTGAAGTTCCCAAAGTCACAGGCAGATATTCAAGAAAGTAGATACAAGACACTGAAGACATGTTGGCTGTGAAAGCAGAGTGATGGAGAACTGGAAAGAGAGACTTTCATATATGCCAGGACAAGATCAACATTCTGATTGTATGTATGTGTGTACATAAATATACATATATGTGTGTGTGTGTGTGTGTGTGTGTGTGCATATACGGTACAGGATGTTAATCATTCAGACTGCAATCCTGCAATTGACTGACACACTCGCATGTGCATGGGCACACACGCGTGCTCACAAGCACACAGACACACACAAGGTGCACATGATTCTGTTTTCGAACACTTCTAACTGAATGGGAATATAGTGGCAGACCAATATTTCCTTGACTTTCAGACACTTGACCCCTGTTTTTTAATGTTACAGGCCAGAAAGTCTAGCAGCTATTGGAGGAGACTGGGCCCACAACTTAGTCAAGTGGTCATTAGGCAATCCACCATCAAGAGGCAGTTCAGTCAAGGACCACTGAACCAGCAGACAAGTGCATTTCCAGGTATGCCTCCACAACTCCTTGACACAATCTAAAAAAGTGTATAATACATAAAGGAATCAAGCTCTCTCCTGTTATATATGGAAAGCTAGAGGAAATAGCTGCAACAATTGTCCCAAGAATACATTAATGGGAATTCAAAAATCTAGATGTTTGGCGAAGCATTACAGACAACTTCAGATACGCCCTTGAATTGAATGACGGGGGACAAAATGAGAGTGCTGGCATTTCATAGTAATACCAACCAGCATAGGACTGAGTCTAGATTTATGGTTTGCCAAGAGGCAAATAGGACCAGCCCTCAACTATATCATCATTAGGGTTTTTATTTAACGGCATCCTCTGACCCAACTTGCTATCAGACATGCTGACACACTGCCAGTCTACTGCTAAGACCAATACCTAGCATTCACAGATGTTGTACATAATAAGAACCTGGATTAGAAAAAAAAAAAAAAGCCAGACGTATTTCACAGGCAATATTATACTAATAAATACAAACGATTTTTAACAAAAAAATCACAAAGCTAAACAACGGATAAGACTCTCATCCAACAGCTCAAGCAATACTTTTTCAACAGCCACTCTCTACAGCCTTCACTAACCAAACATTTATTGTGAAGAAATGTTCAACATTAATCTTGGATCCGTCTGATTTCCCTACAGGATGACACATGAGGACTACCAGATAATCATGACCTGCACGGTTAGAATAATTATTTAATTTATAAACCATCACTGTAAACATTAAGAAAGGGTGCCTTAAGATTTAAGTCCGGTGGACCAACTTCATTGCACCAGGTTTTGTCCCCTATGGCTCGGACTCTCTCCACACAGCTGCTAGCCACCTACTGAGAGCATCACATAACGCACAAACTCTGCAGCTCCAGTGATGATTCCCCATGGATATCCATAAAAATTGCAGGCCGTGAACTAAACAGCGCAGCCGTGAAATGAATCAACAACCTTCAGAGCGCAAGGCAAATGGCTTGACCACTTCACAATAGAAACCTCCTAAAAAGGTGCCTTCTCATAAGAAAAGATGTATTTGGTGCTAAACTCCATTTTTTTAGACTTACTGGCACTCTGTGGATCATGTGATCAATGTCGAGCCAACCAGCGCTATTTCTGAGAACATTTTATTGTTAATTAAACTAGGTCACTGGCAGCCTTCATTAGAAACAAACAAATCTTTTAGTGCACATGCCAAAATAGCATCCGTTTACAAAAATTGATGCCAATCAACGTTATTTTAGAGAAAATTTCATTATGCTCATAAAACTAGGTCAATGTGACGGCAACATGAGAAAACAAAATCTTGTTCATGTAGGTATCAAATTAGCCCTTGTTTTAGGACTACTTTTCAGATCAGGGCAGTTGACAGTATATAGAAGCTCACTGCCTCAGAGTGACACAACAGACTCTTCTGTTAGGTGTCAATACAAACTCTTCTGCTTTGTGTCGACATAACAATTACCAGAAATCTCTTACACAAACACTGAAATGAATTACGAACCATAAATGTTTACCCAATCAGGAGTTATCAATTACTGAAGCTGAGACTGGTGAATCTGGGGCAACTTTTAAGCCACTTTATGTGGTGCACAGTATGATAACAGTTACATACCAGGCAGTGGAGACAAAGATCAGCTCATCTGACATCACAGAGCCATGGCTGAGCATGATAAAACTCTCAATATTTCACAACTCAAAATCAATGTGTGGTATGCAGAAATGTATACACACATATCCCAAACAGTGTGTAATAATATTTTAAAATTGACTTTCACTGCTCCCAACTTAAAAAAAAAACAAAAAAACTATTCAGGACAGAAATTATAGTGAAAAATATCTACACCATTACCAATTACACTTCAAATAACAAATAAAAATGGAATCATATTTTCATTGAAGAAAATAAATATCTCAAAACATACATTCAACATAACATCTGGTGATATTTTCGATCATTATTAAGTTGAATCCTAAGAGTAAGACACATGGTGATACAGCCCAACAAAATCAGCAACAAATCAGCACCAGGAAATGCCCAGGAACCAGGCCATGCCAGGTAATTCAGCTTAGAGACAGAGTGAAGCTGTTTAAACATTATTCCACCTCATGTACGTAGCTTTGGAAAATTAACATAGTGGTTTGAGATTTCACATGGAAAAAAAGGAAGGGAAAGGCAAAGAAAGAAATACAAAGATGCAAAAAGACAGATCTGGGACAAGAACACAGACCTGAAATGAGTGTGCTAATCGTGTGAGATGGTGAACTCTAACCACCCATGCTAACTGAAACAGTACGCAGTGATGATGCAGACAAACTGATGTGCTAATAACTGTTTTATTTTTTAGCAGCTTTAGCACTGTGTAGAATTCATCCAGAACAGCTTGCATTTTGTTGCAATAGTTGAGACACAAGAGGAACATCTGTATGAGGGAGTTTCAAATGAGATCCTCAAGTGTGACAGAGATTACAAGAACCATGCCACTGTCTTGTAAGCTGTCAATATTGTTGTTAAGGATGTCAAGAGTGTGTGTTAAGCATGTGACATGACAGCAGACAAACACGGTGATGACAGTTTAAATACAGCAACCCAACTTTTGACAGATACCAAAGAAGAGCAGCGTTCTGTTATCCAAATTTTGTTGTAATCGATGAAAGGATCAGCTGGAACGATTTATTTCAAGGCAAGGCAAGACTACTGACAATTTTTCAACCTGGCATGGACAGGAAAATACGAGAAACTGAGATGTGCAGATGCAAAATCACCCCAAGCCAGCTGGCATGGCACTTGGTGATGATGATGATCAGGATTCACAGAAAAGTCTAACAGGCAAATAGTACCATAAGTTAAACAGATTTCTGATGGATCAATGGTCGGAATGTCAGTCCTTCAAATATGAAGAGCCAGTGTAGATCCTGAGCAGACAATGTTGTCTATCTAGCTCTATATAAAGTACTGCTTTATCAGTGTATCACACTAAGTGACTCGCTTGATTTGCAGGACCAATGATAAAAGGAAAGTGAGCCAGGAAAAACGAGTAAAACCAGCCAATATTGCCGGAAAAATAAGCCTAAAAGTGATCACAATGCTTGAATTAGGAACACAAACATACGGGAAGCCAATATCACAGCAGTCCCCAAGCTGAAACACCTGACTTGAAATCTTTAAAACCTGACTTGATATATATAAAAAAAATAATTTCATAAAACAAGGTAACATAGTAACATCAGCATTCAGATATGCACGAAATATTTCAGCTTTATTCTTGTTTTAGCTGTGCTGACAAATAACTGATTTTGTATGGGCGCATCAAGGAAGTTCTCTCAGACTAGTTTCTTGGCTTCAAAGAAGCTCTTCAGATGCTGCATCTGCCAGAAGCCAGTAATGAGAAGAATCAGGGTCTGGGCTATAGACCACCACAGAACGCGCTGGTTGGTGCTCTCACTGGTCTGTCGGAACCGTTCCTCCCGGTACTGTAGAGATAATGATCACATATATAACAATATATGAGAAGAATGGAGGACAAACAAGCTACAGGACTAGGTTTGTTTTCTTAGCTGGTCTTCTACAACCCTGGGGTGAAGAAATACAATGACAGTTCACTTGCTGAAGCAGAGCTGGTAAATTTCCCCCTGGGAATGTAATTCTTGATATATACTGCTCATGTGGGATCCACTGTCCCATTTTGGGTAAAAAAAACAGATTAAGCCCTCTTCTCCCCAAGCATGTCATAAAAGGCAACTGACTAGGGGTTTCCAGAAGTCTCATGTGTTGCCGAAAGGTGCAGATATTGAAGGCTAGATGTAAACAATGTGCCAAACACTCTCACAGAGATGATGACAGAAGAAGAATAACACAAACAGGTTCCTTGTGAATGGTTGTCAGGATTTCAAACTGAATTTTTTAAAAGACATATTTAATGGATATACATGTATGGTGTCTTGAAATGTTTAGAAAAGTTTAAAGTTGTGTGTTAGCTAGTGTTAACGTGGGGTTTAAAACGGCACTGAAAAAATTTAACACCCCGCACTTTAATGAGATGGTCCTAACAGTGGCTGTGCAGCTGTGACCTTGGACATGATTAAGAAGATGTGCCTGAGAATTAAATACTTTCTAGACATCACCAGAGCTATAAATGGCACCCATTTTGAAGTATAAGTCTAAAACTGTAAACTTTCCTGAACATTTAAAGATAGCATATGTGTACATCCATTATAAATTTTTTTTGTAATCAATCAATCAGCATACCCTTTATGAACGACAACTCTTTTCACAACACGCCTGAAAATCTCTTTCTCTAGCTATTTCTCCGGTCCTATGTGCTTTCAAAGCTAATGCATCTTCGATGTCCTGTATCTATCGACCTTTGCTGTAGGCCTCTGCCTCGTTTTCCTGAAACTGCACCTCCAGACCACCACAGAGCCAAAATACCTCAGCTTTAAGTAGGTGATGCTGTTTACAAGTCCATTTTCCTTGATGCTCAAGTCCAGCGGAATGTTGACATTTTTCCTTCTTCTTAGTCCATGGTGTTCCTTTATAACAACATTTTTAAAATCTTGGCAACAATTCTGTGTATACTGCAGGTGGTGATGCTGAAAGAACCATGGCCCATGAATGCTACAGTGATTTTAACACAGAGGTCCCAATACAGATCTGCTGCATGATGTATGGAGCATTAGGCAGCCAGATTTTAGTCACACCAGGACATAATGTTGTAGGGAGATCAGTTTTATTAGGTATGCATTTGATAAGGCTGGGTCTCCTTGTGTGGGTCGCGGGCCCCACTGTGACAGACCCACTGACCCCTAACATTCATGTCAAAAAGGTCTAATAATTACGAGAATCCCTTTTTGAAGTTGAAAATGCATTTGCCGGAAAGGCAAGGAACCACCAGTCTGCATACAAATATGCCAGGCTATCAAATGGATGTGCAGGCAAAACTCAATTCCTGGAACAAGACTAAAGTCCAGAAGTGGATGAATAACCATAACTTTTTTTAAATACAGCAGATGAACATGAATAAGACCAAAAAAAAAAGACAGGTAAGATCCAAGTGCTGGATGTGATAAGAACCTGCCGGAGCTGGTGTTGGACCTACAGACCAGTGCTGGTACAAGAAGCCACACTGATCACTATATTATCTGTTCATTAAAGATACTACAGAAAAATGTTTTAAAATGCTTTAGATTTTCTTGCTACTTTGTGTCTAAAATCATTTTTAAATGAAAAGAGAGGAAATTATAACACTAACATTTCTGACGAATATTATTTATGTCACTATAACTGAAAAGAGAGAGAGAGAGAGAGAGAGAGAGAGAGAGAGAGAGAGAGAGAGAGAGAGAGAGAGAGAGAGAGAGAGACAGACAGACAGACAGACAGAGATAGAGAGAGAGAGACAGAGACAGAGAGAGAGGTATCGTAAACATTTAAAACATTTGTATCTGTTTCCCTGCGATTGTTTAAACTAACATCCAAAACTGAAGAAAAATCCAGCTATTAAATTTAAAAACCAAAATACTGTATTGAGTAAAGCTAACAATGAAATCCCACAATTTTAAACATGCAACAGCACCAGCAAATGTAATAAATAATAAGCAAACTGAAGTTCCCATTAGCCAAGCCCACGACTGAGCAGCACATGTTATATGCACTTCAGCTGTATCTACATAATATAAGGTAATGTAATATGTTATCTAATGTTAATGTTACATTTTCGGCTTCAATGGCAAGTTTATTGGGGACAATAATGTGGTAGTTTCTTTAACAGATCTTGTCTTTTTTTTAAAATAAATAAATGAACACAGATAATCATATGCACAGTGACATGTATTTTTATATTAGCAATAGTAAGCTTTTTTCTTATACAGTACTGTCCCCATTTCTAAGGTATTTTTTCCTCCAGCATTACTGTAAAAGACACCTTAATGTGAGTACCGGCACCTTTGATATACACTATGGTCATTACTATGTAAAAGACACTTTAATGTGAGTACCGGCACCTTTGATATACACTATGGTCAGTACCGGCACCTTAGATATGCACTATGGTCAGTACCGGCACAATCTGTCTAGGAAAAAGTATTCTCACTATCCATATGTTATGAGGGCTCATACAGGAAGCCAAGAAAAATAAAAACACTGTAACCTACTATGCATGTCCTAAGAGACAACAAATAAGGATGGTAGGTGTGAAACTAGTTATCACCTCCTGTATACAACTGTCAATGTAAAATATGAGGGAGCTTCAAATTACTTAAAGTGTGACAGAATTTACAATAACAGTAACCATGCTAAGCCTGGTAACCTGTCAACATTGCTCCTCTTTGATGCATGTCACAAGTGGGGATCTTTCAACCAGCATTATGACATCACCATGTTTGTCTGCATTGTGATGTCAAATGCTCAACACTCTTGACATCCTTAACAACATTACTGACAAGTTACAAAACAATGGCATGGTTATTGCAACTTCTATCACACTTTTAAGGTTTTCATCATTTGCAGTCCCCTTGTACACCCAATCAAGAACAAGTTTACAAGGCACTTAGTGTGAGTTGAATAAAGGTCCACAGCCCATTAGGAGATGAATAGTAGAAGAGTAGGAATCTGTCTGTCTGTCCCTGTGTGTGGGTGTATATAGAAAATACAGACTGCAGAGACTGGTATGAAGCCAACTATATGTCTATACGATATATACACATTATTCAACTGACTCACCCTCTGGTAGTTTTGTTCCTTGGTGATCTGCTCCACCTGGTCCAGCAGCTGTCGGACTCTCAGCTGCAACTCGGTCAGCTTGTCTTTGGCCTGGACTTGCTGGTAGTCAACAGCATGCTCACCTACATTGATGTCCAGATGAACTCTCTGAAAAAAACAAACAGAAAGGGCTCTAATTATTTTACCAGGTAAATACAAGCTATGAACTCTGAACAAGCAGATGGGAAGCAAATTATTTTGAACAAATTAAGAAGAAGTTAGAAGCAACAGAGATGTAGTTTCTGAGACGAATGTTACGAATACCTTGGAAGGCCAGAGTAACTAACGATTGCTTGAAATAGGCTAATGAAAGTAGATCTTTGCATACAACAATAAGAAAGAGACAAACATTGTTCTTTGGCCAAATTAGAAGACAGACATTAGAGAACATCGTGACAACTGGAAAAATCAATTGAAAAATTGGTAGAGACAGACCAAGAGAGATGATGCTGGATTGGCTAAAACGATGGCATGGAGGGATATCATCAAGACAGCTGTTCCAGTCAACCAGGGATTGTGATTTGTGGAGACGCATGAGCGCCTACGCCAGTTGGCAGAGCACATGATGATGATAAAATACAAGTTATGAACTCTATGAACAAGAAGAGGGAATGCAAATTATTTTACCAGTTAAAAACAAACAAAATGTATGAACTCCTGAACAAACAGTGAGGAAACTAATTATTTTCTCTGCCGAACACATACAACATATACCTCATATAACCTATCAAATATCTGTTATATTGTAAGGTTAGATTTTTTTGTTGGTCAGTGGGATACAAGTTTTACTACATATAGTTTGGGTTTAACACAATGGCAGTTCAATTTCCTCATAAAAAGACAGAAGTGAAAAACAGCCTTGCTGCTAATGACCGTATTTCACAGAATTCAAATTGTGTGTCCTATTACACTTGCACTCCTGCAGGAATTTGTAACTACTGTTTCAGCTCTGCAGACCCTGGCAAAACAGATGTGTCCAAATATGACAGTCCTGAGGCATAAGTACATGGTTATAAACTCTAATTATATAGGGACATTCCTTCATCTGTGCACAAGAATTTGAGATAGATGGACAAGCTGGATGTTGTGAGGGCCCTTTGGGAGCGAATGAACAGTGCCAAGAAAGATAGATCATAACTGTCTGGGGAGAATGACACTGCAAGGAGTTACAAGGGGATCTGGCCGACGCTTGACACTCAGGTGAAAGGCGAGATGGATATACAATCAGACAGTTACTGGTGCCATCAGAGTTTTAACTCTTGGCTTGAGGCTTAAGATGGGGATAGAGCGCTTATGGGGGTGTCCCGAGTGCTGAGATGTTGATTATTAATTCAACATTCATTCAAAATCTGAGATAGAATATTCCACCTTGTCAGTTTTGGGCAAACAATGGTAGTTTGCTTGTGCTCTAAGAATTTGCAGATTCACTAAAGTTTCTGAACCAACAGCAATGCATCCAAGTCTGCGTCAGGAATCAACATTATCATTAATGCTGTTCCAAAATTTATACAATGATAATGACAGGCGAGCACACCAAAGGACATTAGAAGATCCAGCACGCACCATCATATGCTGAGGAAGTGTCAGTGTATCCTCTGAGGAAGGACAGAGAGTAGGTTGCTGGAAAAGCTACAGACATAACTCAACCACATAAGCACTTGGTGTGGTGAAGCTGGTGCATTGGTCAATCTAATGAAGGCATTAGTGATGTGGTTCTCTTTGAATAATCATTCTGTCAACACACCAAAGCCAAGTGTAAGTCTGTGCCCAGAGACTGTGGAAAGATCGCAGGCAATGAAATATCTAGGAATATGATTTAATCAGAGCTTTGCTTATACTGAGCACACAAACAACTAGAATTTTTTCCATGAGTTTACAGCTGGTGAACACTAAGATGAAGAAGATCGACCAAAGATAAGACATAAACAGATGAACAGCAAACACACGTTTAACACAGATTAACAGCAACATATATTTTAACACATGAATTACAACACACATTTAACACAGACAGCAGCAACACACATTTAACAGACATACAGCAACACACATTCAACACTGATGAAAAGCAACACACATTTAACATAGACCAGCAGAAACACACATTTAACATAGACCAGCAGAAACACACATTTAACATAGACCAGCAGCAACACACATTTAACATAGACCAGCAGAAACACACATTTAACATAGACCAGCAGAAACACACATTTAACATAGACCAGCAGCAACACACATTTAACATAGACCAGCAGAAAAACACACTTAACACAGACCAGCAGAAACACACATTTAACATAGACCAGCAGAAACACACATTTAACATTGACCAGCACAAACACACACTTAACACAGACCAGCAGAAACACACACTTAACACAGACCAGCAGAAACACACACTTAACACAGACCAGCAGAAACATACATTTAACACAGACCAGCAGCAACACACACTTAACACAGACCAGCAGAAACATACATTTAACACAGACCAGCAGCAACACACATTTAACACAGATGAACAGCAACATACATTTAACACAGACTAGCAGCAACACATATTTAACACAGACCAGCAGCAACACACATTTAACACAGATGAACAGCAACATACATTTAACACAGACTAGCAGCAACACACATTTAACACAGACCAGCTGAAACACACACATAACACAGATGAACAGCAACATACATTTAACACAGACTAGCAGCAACATACATTTAACACAGACTAGCAGCAACACACATTTAACACAGACTAGCAGCAACACACATTTAACACAGATGAACAGCAACATACATTTAACACAGACTAGCAGCAACATACATTTAACACAGACTAGCAGCAACATACATTTAACACAGACTAGCAGCAACATACATTTAACACAGACTAGCAGCAACATACATTTAACACAGACTAGCAGCAACATACATTTAACACAGACTAGCAGCAACATACATTTAACACAGACTAGCAGCAACATACATTTAACACAGACTAGCAGCAACATACATTTAACACAGACTAGCAGCAACATACATTTAACACAGACTAGCAGCAACATACATTTAACACAGACTAGCAGCAACACACATTTAACACAGACTAGCAGCAACATACATTTAACACAGACTAGCAGCAACATACATTTAACACAGACTAGCAGCAACATACATTTAACACAGACTAGCAGCAACATACATTTAACACAGACTAGCAGCAACATACATTTAACACAGACTAGCAGCAACATACATTTAACACAGATGAACAGCAACATACATTTAACACAGACTAGCAGCAACATACATTTAACACAGATGAACAGCAACATACATTTAACACAGATGAACAGCAACATACATTTAACACAGATGAACAGCAACATACATTTAACACAGATGAACAGCAACATACATTTAACACAGATGAACAGCAACATACATTTAACACAGATGAACAGCAACATACATTTAACACAGACCAACAGCAACAAACCAGAACATCTGACTTACCAGCTGCCCAGAAGCGAACCAGGACGAGGAGTTTGAATTGAGGCATATAACATGTTCACCAGCAGTGTGAGAGGTGAATGTGAACCTGCCCTCTGCAGCATACATCTGTAGACATCAAAATAATCAAGTGAGCAGGCATTTTATACAGGTAATTAAAAAAGAAAAACATTTAAAAAATACAGCATCAGTCACAACAGAGTATGACAATATCATATTTTTTCCGTGTTAAATTATTTTTTGAAACTCACAAGGTGATACAATTTTCCAGTTATGCCAAATGGCTGCAACCAAACCAATATTTATTTCTTATAACCTGACAGTTTTAATTTTCTAGAAACATAGAGCCCTGCAGCCTAGCATTCCTTTCAGTAGGATCTTTCCTTTTCTGCTTTTTGAAGTCACCTCCTTCAACCCACATCCTCTCTAGATCAAGTATGGAGAGTATGTTTTGCCTGAAAAGCAGGTTCCCTTACTCGGCATCTCTGACAGATTAAAATGGATGACAGTAGCCATTTTATATATATATATATATATATATATATATATATATATATATATATATATATATATATATATATATATATATATATATATATATATATATATATATATATATATATATATATATCTTTGTGTGTAAATTTTCTTCTCCAGATTTGTACTCTGTAGGATTTACATCTCAGGGATGAGAATCTTTTTCTCTCGTCGTCTCTGGTTGTAGCCCAGTGTCCTGGTTTTCTGTGTTTGTCTTGCGCTTCTCGGGTGGCATTAGTGAGAGAGGAGAATCAACAGGTTTAAATTTCAGAATCTCCACAGCAGTTAGGTAACGTTTTTGTCCGCAAACAAACATTTTAGGTCATTGTACAAAATTTGTTCGGCTTTAATTCATGTTTCATGACTTTTCCACGGGCTATCTTCTAGGTGTGGTAGCATATATGTTCGTTTCCTGTGTCGCTGTCTCTACAAACCAGGACTTCATTAAATGTCTAAGCGCCTGCCACTTGTTTCTTTTCTTTGCTGTTCTCCGCATGCATCACACAGAAATTCATAGCAACTAGGCTGCACACACACGTGGGACCTAGACTGCATATGTTGGTGGGGCCTAGGCTGCATGCAGTCGTTGGGCCTAGGCTGCACTCTCTCGTGGGACGTAGTTTGGGGTTGTGGGGGAAAAAGGGAGGAGGGGGGTTAGGGCTTAGAGTCTTTAAAACTGCTCACAACCTGTAATACAGAACGCTTAGATCATTGACAATAACACAGCATGACACCCTAGAAGACAGTGCAGCCCATGAGAAAGGTCACAGCTCATGAATGGAAGGTCAAGAAATCTCACACGTCGATGTGAAGTGGTTGTTTGCGGAATAAAAGGTTACTTGTATCCAGTTATATGGAAGCACCATAAAATGGTTACAAAGTAACCTATATTCCAGTATTCCAGTATGGTTAGTAAACCATTATTACCAGGAATAAAAACCCTAAGACAGATTCTAAGTCTTTATTCAGGATCTGTCTTACAGGTTTTATTTAAAGTTTTCAAACTAAGTATTTTCTATAAGGCATCATGGTACTTAAATAAAAAGATAACAAACACAGCGTTCAACATCAGTCATGCTAAACACTGATTCCCATCTGGGTCACAAATAGAATTGTGCTTTAAGACCACCCATAGCTTCTCTTGCAATGTGGCTCTCTTGGGCCAGATCAACAGTCTTTGCTGGGAGAGGTTAGGGCGGTACTGCAGTATGTGCTCAGGGGGTCTGTCTTTCTGCTCCACAATCACAGGCAGCAGATGCTTTTATGCCTATCCTGTGCAGGTGTTCTCGTAGACCACAGTGTCCTGTCCCAAGTCTAAAAATTGATGTTTGTTCTTTCCTGTTGAGTTTATTTATGCTGTCACTCTTTGGTCTGTAATCTCTATTCTGCTTTCTCCACTCCCTCTTGAAAGACTGCTTTAGCGCTGTTTTGGTTTCCTTGAAGCTGTGTGGTGGATGAGGTTGCTGAAGATTACTCCCAGCTTTTGCCAACTCATCTGCTCTAGCATTTCCTTAAATACAGGAATAAACATCAACAATGTTATACTGGCTAAGCCTTTTATTTTCTTTAGGAAAGCTGTGGTAATACACTAGAATATGTGCTTGCCAGCCCAGTGGTCATGTAGGTATCTCCTTCAGATGGGATTTTCCTAATTTCCTCAGCTCTGTTGTCAACCTTTCCAAAATGGGTTGCAGGCAATTATTTCACACAGTAAACACGTTATCCTCAGTAAAGCTAGGGATTTTTCCTGTCGGGGGCAAAATAAAATCTTTACCTGCACAGTCGTTGCAACAGCACTAGCCTTAGGCTCAAAGACCCCTTTCCCTACACCGCAAAGTGGTAAAATAAAGGCAGTAAATGGCAGTCGATCCAGCAAGAATCAACTGGTCTAAAATATACAGGATTAACATCTATACTCAGTACCATTCATGCTCTGAAAACATTGCATTTTTTTTTCTTGGTACCCTCTCTGATATATCTTATATGGACCAGTTCTGACTTACTAGTGTTTTGACAATTACTTATGTCCAAGACAGCTTAACTGACACCCAAAGCACTCACCCTGGACAAGATAATTTTATCTTCAGGATCTGTAACCTGAACATGCATGCCAATCCCAGGTGAGACGGGCAAGTACTCTTTGACATTGTGATCATAGGCCTGAACTTTATAATTGCCTGCAACATGTCACAAGAACAATGAATATCTGAAATCAACATGCCATATAACAATGCATAACTTAAAGCCACATGTCACAAGAACAATAAATATCTGAAATCAACATGCCATATAAGAATGCATAACTTAAAGCCACATGTCACAAGAACAATGAATATCTGAAATCAACATGCCATATAACAATGCATAACTTAAAGCCACATGTCACAAGAACAATGGATAACTCAAAGTAACATATCACAAGAACAATGGATAACTCAAAGCAACATGTCACAAGAACAATGAATATCTGAAATCAACATGCCACAAGACCAATGAATATTTACAGCAACATGTCATTTAACAATGCATAACTCAAAGCAAAATGTCAAAGAACAGTTTCCTTAGGAAAATTCTAGGGGCCCATTTTTTTTTGGGGTGGGTGGGGGGGGGGGGGGGGGGGGGGGGGGGGGGAAGGTTGGGAGGACAAAAGAATTACTGCCTTCTTAGTAAGCATGTCATCCAATGTAACTAACCGATAATTAATGGTGTTTCATCCTATGTCACAGTGCATCTGCCTGAGAAGCAGTGAACCAACACCGCACATAAATAAGCCAGACACAAAACTCAAGCCATGGAACAATCTCAAAGTTAAGAAGTGGATGAACAATCTAGAATTTCCACATGAGTTTACAGCAAGTGATCGCTAAGAAGAAGAAGAAACAAAGATTTATACCTTAAAGAAACATGCTGAAACAAATGGCACATTAACATAAAATCTGAGGCAGAAAGGAAGTAGAAGTCCATGACAGCTGGGAGGAAAGAGACTTGTCTTGTCTTGTCCACAATTGCCTCACAGCGTAGTGGGGAGTCGCAGTTTTCTATCCTGGGCCAGGTGTGTTGCACGTGTTGTTGTTAGTCCGTGTTGCCTCAGGATCTCTGATATATTGTCTATCCATCGTACTCTCGGTCTGCCTCTTGCTCTAGGGCAGTAGTGCTGTTCGTTGTATGCTCGTAGAGGCAGTTGGTCGGTTTGCATTCGCATCAAGTGGCCAAACCACTCTATTTGTTGCTTCTTTATGTATTGCAGGCATGGTGTGGTTCCTACAATTGATCTAAGAGTACTTCCCTTAAAAAAATTTTTTGGGGGGTTAAACCCAATGAAAGCAATGTAAAAAAACATTATCATATTAAGGAATAATAATTCAAAAAAGGACAAATTAAAGATTAGGAAAAAAGTTTCATTCAGTAAAAAAAGTCATTTTTCTGCCCACAGAAAGAGATGGCAGCAGACTCAGAAGTACATTGGTGAAAAAGTTAATGATTCCCACATTGACCATTGAGTGAAACAAGCACAACAACAATGTTGTATATGGGCATTCTCAAGTTACTAAAGTGATAGTGTCTTGCATTCAGCCCAAAGCATGATGTGTGCACTAAAAGATATCTTCTTTAAAGAACAGTTTTCCTGGAATCAAAACTGGCAGTTTCCAATGCATCTGATCTCTTTAGAAAAGATCCAGCTCTGTGCCACTCATACACACACAAAATAGTAAACTTGGGGGTGGGGGGGGGGGTTCAAATTAATTTAAAAAACATGCCAAAAACCCACGGACAATGCAATGGAAGTAGAGAGTGAAGTGATAAAGTGGGAGAGGACATGGGAGAGAGCAAAGGAAGGGATGATACAGTCGGAGAGGACATGGGAGAGAGCAAAGAAAGGGATGATACAGTCGGAGAGGACATGGGAGAGAGCAAAGGAAGGGATGATACAGTCAGAGAGGACATGGGAGAGAGCAAAGGAAGGGATGATACAGTCGGAGAGGACATGGGAGAGAGCAAAGGAAGGGATGATACAGTCGGAGAGGACATGGGAGAGAGCAAAGGAAGGGATGATACAGTCGGAGAGGACATGGGAGAGAGCAAAGGAAGGGATGATACAGTCGGAGAGGACATGGGAGAGAGCAAAGGAAGGGATGACTTGGTGTGAGTTGGTGCCGGATCTGTGCTCCTCTGCAGAATAAAGGGTGGACAAAGCAGACGAAGAAAAAGGCTAATTAACATAGAGGGCTGGCCTCAGAATTCACCAGATTGAAAATCTGTGGTCTATCTGGAAGCTATACCTTCATGGAATAGGTTGCTTAAAAAATGGAGGAACTATTTCAAATTGTAAGTGTTAACTCTGAGTCTCAAGGAACGCATCATACGCTCATAGGTTCCTACCTTGAAGCCCAATGAACGCATGATGCGCCAATTTTATTACTTTCTTTACTACCCCCTAGGCCTGTGATGCTAAACCCCCTGGGACTCAAAGAGTTAATGAAAAGAATTCCTGCATGCTATATATAGCATAACTAAAGGCTCGGAAATGGGATTTTACCGAAGAATCCTTGCATTCCTTCGACAGTTAAGAAAAACAACCCAGATATTCTAAAAGAGGTGAGGGCTCGAAGACCACTTATCACAAACATCAGAAAGTCATCATTTTTTTTGGGTGTGCTCATATGATGTTATGAGAAGAGGGAAACTAGAACACGTTGTGACCACTGTAAAGATCTGCCTAAAGAGCGACATAGGAAGACAGTGCGAGAAGATTCCTTTAAGTCTTTTGTTATGGCATGGAGGGGTGTCAACACACTGAATGATGCACGCAGTTGCTGATCGCAGATTATGGAGAGGCATGACCGCCCACACCAGTCGTCAAGGCACATTATGGTGCTGGGAAAGAAAATAAATGCAGACGTTGTGTTGGCCACGTCAGCCAGGAAAAACCTAATGGTCTATACAATTTAGACTAGTACCACATAGCTGCTGCAGGTAAGGCGTCATCGCTCTACAGACACATTTATTCATGACTGTTGATGTTTTCACAAGTTAAATAGTTATTATATTTATAGTTACCACATCATAATCAGGCCAGTAATCACGCAAACTGGAAATTGATCGTTAAAGTTGAATCATTGTGTAAGCAGGCATGTAAACAACGTTTAATCTTACCTACAACCATTGTTTCGTCAGGAATTTCTTCGATGAAACATTTCTTTTCAGTTTCCCCAATATGGAAGTACAATGCAAGAGAGGTCTGTAGAAAGATGAACCAAACAAACACAGCAGACGTACACGCCATGATTGCCTTGTCGACGGCAGGGACACGCATGCGCAGTCAGCCCGGCCACGTATAGATACGGGCTAGGGGCAGCTACGCCCCGGGTGTTCACCCCAGAGTTTTCTCTCCTTATAGTTGAATTAATTGCAGCTATATTATCAGTGGCAGCAAAAGTAGTAGTAGCATCAGCAGCAGCAGCATCAGTGGTAGCACAAGTAGTAGCAGCAGCAGCATCAGTGGTAGCAAAAGTAGCAGCAGCATCAGTGGTAGCAAAATCAGTAGTAGTAGTAATAGTAAAGGTCCATTTCCCCCGCCTCTAGACGTATTGGAAAAATAGGTCTAGACCGATATTTGTAAAGACCAATCGGCACTTGGTGGTTCATGTGGTCAGCATCACGCCGGCCGCCTTTACTTCCCAGGACTGCCCCTGGTACCCACTAAAGGCTCGTTCGACCTGGGATTCAAGGTAATTTTTGAAAAATACCCGACTCCGTCAGGTCGTGAACCCACGACCTTCCGATTCGCAGGCGTGCGTCTTACCGCCAACGCCACAGTGACTCCCAGTAATAATAGTAGTAGTAGAAGTAGTAAAAGTAATAGTAGTAATAGTAGTAATAACAGTAATAGCAGTAGTAGGAGTAGTAATAGTCAGGCATGAGTGGAAAAAAAAATTAAAAAAAAAAGGGGGGAGGGGTATGATGCAGCCAGCGCATTGTTCCTTGGCTCAGGAGCTGTTTATTAAAGGGCATGCAATTCTGCAGAATCCAGCGGTTAAATTTGTATCTTGGGATAGTTAGCTGTTGAGATATGCATTTAAAAAATCGACAGAGGCTTGTTTTTCTCAGACACATTCTAGAAATTATGTGTTCGGATCCCAGAACATGAGAGAAACAACAATCACAAGCAGTGCTATCTGGCCTGACCCTTACTAATAGTCCTTACGTTCTTTTCAGGACGTAATTTTTTGTTATTTGAAGCCCCACTCTGGCTTTTGCCAGGGGCCGCAATATAGGCAGGCCATAAAAATGGCCAAATGTCTGAACGCGGTTTCTGGGACCTCTCCACGGTGATCCTCATCCACATGGTGGCACTTTGTGTCATCGGGTGTTTATCGCTTGTGTGATGTCCTAGTGGGGTAGAAAGTCACTCACTCACTCTGGCCTGACAGGAACTAAAAAGACGCCTTGCAAAGTCATTGACAATCTGTTGGAGACATCAGTTGAAACAGAATCCGGCAAGTGGTACAAAATTACGAAACGAAAAATTGTCTTGTACATTGGAGGACTTGCTCTGCGTGGCACTACCGAGCGCATTGGTGAAAAGGACAGAGGACATTTTCTAAGAGTCGTAGAGTGGTTGTCTCATTGGGATTCAATTCTAAAAAAAACAAAAACATATGTGGCAGGTTAAAGAGTCACAAGAAAAGAGAAAACGACTTCAAGTACATTATCTCTGCCCTGATTCCTAAAAGGAATTAGTTGCTGAATGTTCCTCACTTATAAAGCAACATATGTTAGAGAACAGGTAAACTGTCAAATATTTGAAAACCAGTATGAAATTGTCGAAATATTTTTTACACTGTGTTGACACGAGGCATAAAACAGGATATCACATAGCACAAATTATAGTAAAGAGTAAAAGATCAATTTCACACCTTAGGCGCATCGGGCACA